ATTTGTGCTGGGAGGGGGGATGTAAGAGAGAGAGGATTTGTGCTAGGAGGGCCAATTTTTAGGGGAGGGAGGATTTGTGCTAGGAGGGGGATTTGGGGGGTGGGGAGGTGATTTGTGCTAAGGGGGGGGGGAAGGTTGTGCTGGGAGAGGATTTGTGCTGATTTGTGCTGGGAGGGGGATTTGGGGGAGAGGATTATTGATAGAAGGGAGGATGGGTGGATTGTGCTGCAGGGGGGGGGGGGTTTGTGTTGGGAGGGGGGATTGAGGAGGGGGATTTGGATTTGTGCCAGGAGGGGGATTTGGGGAAGGGGAATGGGGAGGCGATTTGTGCTAAGGAGAGGGGGGGTGTGTGCTGGGAGGGAGGGATAGGGACAGGATTTGTGCTGGCTAAGGGGGGGGTTGTGCTGGGATTTGTGGGGAAGAGAGGGATTATTGATGGAAGGGAGGATGGGTGGATTGTGCTGGGGGGGGGGGGTTTGTGTTGGGAGGGGGGATTTAGGAGAGAGAGGATTTGTGCTGGGAGGGGGGATTTAGGAGAGAGAGGATTTGTGCTAGGAGGGACAATTTTTAGGTGAGGGAAGAATGTACTAGGAGGGGGATTTGGGGGTGGGACATCTGTGCTGGTTGGGTGGATTGGAGGGGGGGACAACAATTTTTTCTGGGAGGTGGGAGAGGGGATTTTCGGCCATGATGCTCACACAACATGGGGGGGGGGGGTGCATTTTTGTCATCTTCACTCTGGCACTTGATGACCTCGTCCCGGGAAATGGGAGAATCAACTGGGGAAGGAACGCCGATGAAAGCTGAAGACAGAATCCCGACTGACAAGGAACATTTTTACACACAGAAGAAGAAGGTAAGCGAGGACATCAATTAGCGGCGGGAGACAAAAGGAAACAATTATTCCAGCAAAATCCGCAGCGAAGACCGTTTATCAAAACGTCTGAATCCAAATCTTGATCTCCTCTCAGCCACTAATCAAACTCACACTCCCCTCCCCCCCGGCTGTCATCTCCCAGCTCAGGTTTGGAATCTAATTGGCCGCTGCAGGAACGGCGCGGACGGATGTGATTCCAGACTATTTTGATAAATGGCGCCTATTGAGTTCGCGGCATTCGGAAACCATTGAAATCCGTCCCCCCCCAAAAAAACCCTCAGAAGTGCGTTACGACGTGCGCGGCGTCTAATGGCGGACGCGGGCCACTGAACCTGAACTGAAAGTCATTTTCGGTTTACAAAAAATGGAAAAAAAAAAAACCAGAAACGTTTTGGAGCCTTTTTCTTTCATTTGATGAATTTGGGTCGTAAAAGACAAAATCCATCCCGAAGATTTTAAGGTAATTTTTGCCCGCTTTGACGAATCGCCCGTCACGACGCAGTGCATTAATATAAAAAAAAGAAAAAAAGAAAGAAAAGAGTTCGCAACTCAGACGAGAGCAAAAAAAAAAGATAAAAATTCCAAAACTCCGCCGCCGCCGCCGGGTGATTTAACGTGTTCTACCTAAAAGGGTTTCCTAATCATTCATCCTTTCATAGGTGCCTATCTGCGCGCCATTTGTATCGGAACAAGACAGTCGGCGATAAAACCAAAGCGGCGCATCAGACAGACTGATAGACTGAGCGCATCGCTAATAAGTTCTATGCAAATCAGCCTCCCAGCGCGTGCGAGGACGGACGCACACAGGTGAGCGCATTGTACCAACATATGGCCTCACAGAATAGACGTCCTCCGTGCCGGGGAACTGCTACATCTTCCTACAAACGCAAAGGATTCGAGGAGAATTCGGCTTTGATTCTCCCTGATTAAAGGCGCAATTACCCAACATGTTTGCTTGCCTCCCTTTGTTCCCTTCAAGGAAATATCTGGACGAGATTTTTGCTTTTTTTTTTGTTTTTTCTTTGTTAGAGTTTAACCTCTGAATCCATAGAGAGGCCTTTACACCTCAGAGGAACCTCTGAAATAATCTTGAGGCCTTGGGGAACCCTTGCTAAAAACCAATTTATTGCCGTCGAATGGGATAAATGCCCCTTACATTGGTGGTCAATATGAAGACTGCAAGCCTTGAAGTGGCAGTCAGGATGCCACCCTTACATTGGCCCTGGAACTATGCAGGCACCACCCAATGGGAGGTCAGCGAGCCACAACTCAAGGAACATCTGGTAACCTCCATAAGAACCCAAGTGGAATTGGCCCTAGAACTATGCAGGCACCATCCGTGGGAGGTCAATCAGCCACAACCCAAGGAACGTCTGGTAACCTCCTAAGAACCCTAGGCTTTGCCAAGTGGCATTGGCCTGGAAACTATGCAGGCACCATCCGATAGGAGGTCAGTCAGCCACAACTCAAGGAACGTCTGGTAACCTCTATAAGAACCCTAGGCTTTGCCAAGTGGCATTGGCCCTGGAACTATGCAGGCACCATCTGATAGGAGGTCAGTCAGCCCACAACCCAAGGAACAATCTGGTAACCTCCATAAGAACCCAAGTGGCATTGGCCCTGGAAACTATGCAGGGCACCATCCGTAGGAGGTCAAGCCACAACTCAAGGAAGTCTGGTAACCCTTAAGAACCTAGGCTTTGCCAAGTGGCATTGGCCCTGGAACTATGCAGGCACCATCCGATAGGAGGTCAGTCAGCCACAACCAAGGAACGTCTGGTAACCTCCATAAGAACCCTAGGCTTTGCCAAGTGGCATTGGCCCTGGAACTATGCAGGCACCATCTGATAGGAGGTCAGTCAGCCACAACCCAGGAACGTCTGGTAACCTCCATAAGAACCCAAGTGGCATTGGCCCTGGAACTATGCAGGCACCATCCGATAGGAGGTCAGTCAGCCACAACCAAGGAACGTCTGGTAACCTCTATAAGAACCTAGGCTTTGCCAAGTGGCATTGGCCCTGGAACTATGCAGGCACCATCCGATAGGAGGTCAGTCAGCCACAACTCATGGAAACGTCTGGTAACCTCCATAAGAACCCTAGGCTTTGCCAAGTGGCATTGGCCCTGGAACTATGCAGGCACCATCCGATAGGAGGTCAGTTAGCTACAACCCAAGGAACGTCTGGTAACCTCCATAAGGATCCTAGGCTCTAAACCCTGGTTTGGAATGGCTGCCATAGAGAATGCGTATGCCATTTGGACCACATCTATGAAAGTGAGGTCTTCCTCTTGGCAATGCTCGGTTGTAGGTGATGAAAACAGATGACATTTTTCCAGGAAACCTTGAGTGTTCCATGGTTCTCTTCAAAGATGAGTCTAGAGATGCTCTAGACACCCCCCTCTGTAGGCCAAACGTCAGATGGCGGGTTTGGTGATGACCTGGATGTTGTTTCAATGTTGTCATACTGATGGCTTTGCCAAGTGGCATTGGCCACTGCAAACTTGCAGGCACCATGTGATGGGAGGTCAATCAGCCACAACCCAAGGAACGGGTAACCTCCATAAGAACCCTAGGCTTGCCAAGTGGCATTGGCCCTTGGAACTATGCAGGTCCGATGAGGAGGTCAGTCAGCCACAACTCAAGGAACGTCTGGTAACCTCCATAAGAACCCTAGGCTTTGCCAAGTGGCATTGGCCCTGGAACTATGCAGGCACCATCAATGGAGGTCAGTTAGCTACAACCCAAGGAACGTCTTTGGTAACCTCCATAAGGATCCTAGTCTAAACCCTGGTTTGGAATGGCTGCCATAGAGAATGCGGCCCTGCATTGCAGGACCACATCTATGAAAGTGAGGGTCTTCCTCTTGGCATGCTCGGTGTAGGTGTATGAAAAACAGATGACAATTTTCCAGGAAAACCTTGGTGTTCCATGGTTCTCTTCAAAGATGAAGTAGAATGCCTAGCACCCCTTTGCCAAACGTGGGCATGACCTGGCCCTGGAACCTAACTGCAGGCACCATGTGATGGGAGGTCAATCAGCCACAACCCAAGGAACGCCTGGTAACCTCCATAAGAACCCTAGCTTTGCCAAGTGGCATTGGCCCTGGAACTATGCAGGCACCATGTGATGGGAGGTCAATCAGCCACAACCCAAGGGAACGCCTGGTAACCTCCATAAGAACCCTAGGCTTTGCCAAGTGGCATTGGCCCTGGAACTACTGCAGGCACCATCTGATGGGAGGTCAATCAGCCACGACCCAAGGAACGCCTGGTAACCTCCATAAGAACCCTCGTCTAAACCCTGGTTTATGTTTCAATAGTTTTTATTGAAAGATTTTAGTATAAACAAAGGGTAAAACAATCAAACATGGTACAGATTACAGTTCACAGTGAGGTATAGTAATACTTTTGTGTGACGTAAATTCTTCACCATTTGGCTGGAGAATATATTTCTGATCCGCATCAACTTGAGAGGTATTCTCTGTTAAATATGAACTGCATAAGGGATGAGCTTATAAAGGAAGGAGAAGGAATATGGATAAGAGGCAAGGGGGGGTGAAGGGGGGGAGGGAGGTGAAGGGAGGGAGGGGGGGGATGCACCAGTCGTGGGTCAAGAGTCTAAGTGTTATAAAATTAGTTTATCAATCTTTAACAATACAGTTTGGGTTTTGTAGCCATGGAGACCTAAAACCTGGTTTAGAATGGCTGCCTTAGAGAATGCGTCCCTGCCATTTGCCACATCAGTGTAGGTGATGACATCACAGATGACCTTTTCCATGGGTCTCTTCATAGATGAATGAATGGAGATGCTCTTGACAACCCCTCTGTGAGCCATACATCAGATGGCGAGTTTTGGTGATGCTCTGGATGTTGCCCAAGAGCACCTTCCTGTGGCCCTTAGTGTCCCCAGAGATCAATGTTGTCTCAATGTTGTCATACAGATGGCTTTACCAAATGACATTGGCCCTGGAACAATGCAGGCATCATCCTATGGGGGGTCAATCAGCTACAACCCAAGGAACCTCAGGTAACCTCCAGGGGAAGCTTAGGGTTCCAACGATCCCTGGTTTAAAATGACTGCCATGGAGAGTACGTCCCTGTTGTTTGAAAGTTAAACCAAATCTATGGAGGTGATGATCTTCCTCTTGGCATGCTCGATGTAGGTGAGGACATCACCGATGTAATTTTCATGGAAAACCTTGAGTGCTCCAAGGGTCTCCTCATAAATGAGTCTGGAGATGCGCTTGACACCCCCTCTGTGAGTCAAATGTCAGATGGCGGATTTTAGTGATGCCCTGGATGTTGCTGTTTTGACAGTTACACCACATCTATAGAGACGATGGTCTTCCCCTTGGCATGCTTGGTGTAGGTGATGACATCACAGATGACATTCTCCAGAAAAACTTTGAGTGCTCCATGGATCTCTTCATAGATAAGTTTGGAGATGTGGCATGCTTGGTGTAGGTGATGACATCACAGATGACATTCTCCCAGCAAAACTTCGAGCAATGTTGCGCTTGACACCCTCTCTGTTTCAGAGTGTTTTTAGTGATGCCCTGGATGTTGCTGTTTTGAGACAGTTACACCACATCTATAGAGACGATTGGTCTTCCTCTTGGCATGCTTGGCGTAGGTGATGACATCACAGATGACATTCTCCAGAAAAACTCTAGTGCTCCATGGATCTCTTCATAGATAAGTTTGAGATGTGACTTGACGCCCCTCTTTGTGGGCCAAATGTCAGATGGAGTGTTTTAGTGATGCCCTGGATGTTGCTGTTTTGACAGTTACACCACATCTATAGAGATGATGGTCTGCCTCTTGGCATGCTTGGTGTAGGTGATGACATCACAGATGACATTCTCCAGCAAAACTTTGAGCGCTCCATGGATCTCTTCATAGTTAAGTTGTGGATGCTTGGTGTAGGTGAATGACATCACAGATGACATTCTCCAGCAAAACTTCGAGTGTTCTATGGATGTTGCCTTGACACCCCTCTCTGTGGACCAAAACGTCAGATGGAGTGTTTTAGTGATGCCCTGATGTTGCTGTTTTGACAGTTACACCACATCTATAGAGACATGATCTTCCTCTTGGCATGCTTGGTGTAGGTGATGACATCACAGATGACATTCTCCAGAAAAACTTCTAGTGCTCCATGGATCCTTCATAGATAAGTTTGAGATGTGGCATCTTGGTGTAGGTAGATCAAGATTTTCTCCAGCAAAACTTCGAGATTTGCGCTTGACGCCCTCTTTGTGGGCCAAATGTCAGATGGAGTGTTTTAGTGATGCCCTGAATGTTGCTGTTTTGACAGTTACACCACATCTATAGAGATGATGGTCTGCCTCTTGGCATGCTTGGTGTAGGTGATGACATCACAGATGACATTCTCCAGCAAAACTTTGAGCGCTCCATGGATCTCTTCACAGTTAAGATTGGAGATGTGGCATGCTTGGTGTAGGTGATGACATCACAGATGCAGGGGCAGACTGACAGCTCATGGGGCCCCCGGGCAATAGGGGATCATGGGGCCCCTGTGTCCTTGCCCGCACTCAAAAAAAGACTATAAAAAAGTACCAGGGGTATTTCATGGGGCCCCCTACTGACCCCGGGCCCTCGGGCAGTGCCCAAGTGCTCGAATGGTCAGTCCACCCCTGCACAGATGACATTCTCCAGCAAAACTTCCAGTGCTCCATGGATCTCTTCATAGATAAGTTTGGAGATGTGCTTTTATCCAGGAGGGACATAGTGGCCCCTTTTTTACCCGTTTGCTAGTAGCTAGCTGATTTTACCTAGAAGGGCCACAGAACCACTTGAACCAATCCACCAAAGATCAATTGTATTACTCTGACATGTTGAAGATTTGCAATAAATACATAAACTCTATTACCCACCCCATTGCAGGACAAACGCTACCAGGACCAGGACAAGGTCTTCTGGGACCCCTGGGCAAAGATACTCCAGTACCCCCCTTTCACACTCACATATACAATGGTTGGGCAATACCCATCGCACAGACAGAGGGATCTGGTGGCTACATTGGAAGAGCCCTCTCCTAGTGTAATCTGCAGAAGTGGGCTGTCAATTTTACAGCCTGGTCTTGCACAGTGCAGGACATGGCCAGGAAATGCTGAGGCAGGAGGAGTTTCCACCACAGCTCCGCCCCCTGCAGCTCCTTCCCTCCTGGCCCTGACCATTACTTATACCACCTAGCACCGATGTCACCGGTCTCCTGAGCAGATAAACTCCCACCCAGCTCTTCAGGTAATGTTTCTCCGACTGACATACACCAATGAGCTCAGACATACACCAATGTCATACACCAATGAGCTCGAACGGTATCGTATTGCATGCACACGTTTTGTTCCTTTTGACGCTGAGATTTTCATGGCGTCTCTCTCCCAACAATTAACCGCACAATGGCGGAGTGATTATATTCAACACGGAGGAGAATTAAATCCTCATAAAAACGACTGGGACGCGTACGGCGCTCCGCACCGTCTTCTCTGTGATTGGATGAATATTCTAATTTCCTCGCGGAGAATTCTGTTGGGCTGTTCTGATCTCATTTTCCAGCTTCGTGAATTCAGCATCAATAAAAAAGGACCCAATAAATGTGGGAGAATCGTATTATTTACTCGGCTGAATCTGTTAGAGCGGGCTAAGTGTCTCCAGTATAATCCTGTACAGCGGGGGGAGGGGGGCGAATAGATGATGGAGGAAGGGACTGGGGAGGAAGGCGAGAAGATGAGTGAGGAAGGGACTGGGGAGGAAGGCGAGAAGATGAGTGAGGAAGGGGACTGGGGAGGAAGGCGAGAAGATGAGTGAGGAAGGGACTGGGGAGGAAGGCAAGGAGATGACTGAGGAAGGGACTGGGGAGGAAGGTGAGAAGATGAGTGAGGAAGGGACTGGGGAGGAAGGCGAGAAGATGAGTGAGGAAGGGACTGGGGAGGAAGGTGAGAAGATGAGTGAGGAAGGGACTGGGGAGGGAAGGCGAGAAGATGAGTGAGGAAGGGACTGGGGAGGAAGGCAAGAAGATGACTGAGGAAGGGACTGAGGAGGAAGGCAAGAAGATGAGTGAGGAAGGGATAGGGGAGGGAGGCGAGGAGATGACCGAGGAAGGGACATCATATATGTGGCAAGGACTGCTGGTCCTCTGAAAAGCCTTCCACATCCAACTCACTTTTCAGAGACATTTGACAGGCAGCAAGAAGGCAAGTATGGGGTGGTTGCAGGGCGGCCCCATAGGGTTGCACTATTTGCTCTCGGCGGTGACACCACCCTCTGAAAGCAACACGCTTTCACGTACTAAGAAGTAAGGCGAGGAGGGGCGCGGACAATACTTGGGGTAATATAGTGTATATACGGGGGGCGGGGACAATACTTGGGGTAATATAGTGTATATACGGGGGGGCTGGGACAATACTTGGGGCAATATAGTGTATATATGGGGGGGCGGGGACAATACTTGGGGCAATATAGTGTATATACGGGGGGGGGCGGGAACAATACTTGGGGCAATACAGTGTATATACAAGGGGGCGGGGGACAATACTTGGGGTAAAGGCATAATGTATATACGGGGGGGCGGGGGGACAATACTTGGGGCAATATTGTGTATATACGGGGGGCGGGGGGACGATACTTGGGGTAATATAGTGTATATACGGTGGGGGCGGGGACAATACTTGGGGGCGATATAGTGTATATACGGGGGGGGCGGGGGCCGATACTTGGGGTAATATAGTGTATATACGGGGGGGCAGGGGGCAATAGTTGGGGGGGGGGACAATATTGGGGCGATATAGTGTATATTCCTGGAGGGGGGTCGGGGGACAATACTTGGGGCAATATAGTGTATATACGGGGGGGCGGGGGCGGATACTTGGGGTAATACAGTGTATAAATGGTGGGGGGGGTACAATACTTGGGGTAATATAGTGTATATACGGGGGGGGGGGACAATACTTGGGGTAATTATAGTGTATATACGGGGGGGCGGGGACAATACTTGGGGCAATATAGTGTATATACGGGGGGGGTGGGGGGGACAATACTTGGGGCAATATATTGTGTATATACGGGGGGGGGGGCGGGGGGCGATACTTGGGGTAATACAGTGTATATATGGTGGGGGCGGGGACAATACTTGGGGCAAATATAGTGTATATACGGGGGGGGCGGGGGACAATACTTGGGGTAATATAGTGTATATACGGGGGGGGGGGGACAATACTTGGGGTAATATAGTGTATATACGGGGGGGGTGGGGACAATACTTGGGGCAATATAGTGTATATACGGGGGGGCGGGGACAATACTTGGGGCAATATAGTGTATATACAGGGGGGGGGGGGGGACAATACTTGGGGCAATATAGTGTATATACGGGGGGGGCGGGGACAATACTTGGGGTAATATAGTGTATATATACGGGGGGGCGGGGACAATACTTGGGGTAATATAGTGTATATATACGGGGGGCGGGACAATACTTGGGGCAATATAGTGTATATACGGGGGGGGGGGGGGACAATACTTGGGGTAATATAGTGTATATACGGGGGGGGGGGGACAATACTTGGGGTAATATAGTGTATATACGGGGGGCGGGGACAATACTTGGGGTAATATAGTGTATATACGGGGGGCGGGGACAATACTTGGGGTAATATAGTGTATATACGGGGGGCGGCGGGACAATACTTGGGGCGATATAGTGTATATACGGGGGGGGGGGGGGACAATACTTGGGGCAATAAGTGTATATACAGGGGGGGGCGGGGACAATACTTGGGGGTAATATAGTGTATATACGGGGGGGGCGGGGACAATACTTGGGGTAATATAGTGTATATACGGGGGGGGCGGGGGGTGACAATACTTGGGGTAATATAGTGTATATACGGGGGGGGGGGGGGGGGGACAATACTTGGGGTAATATAGTGTATATACGGGGGGGGGCGGGGACAATACTTGGGGCAATATAGTGTATATACGGGGGGGGGGGGGACAATACTTGGGGTAATATAGTGTATATACGGGGGGGGGGGGGGGGACAATACTTGGGGCAAATATAGTGTATATACGGGGGGCGGGGGGACAATACTTGGGGTACTATAGTGTATATACGGGGGGGGCGGGACAATACTTGGGGTAATATAGTGTATATTACGGGGGGGCGGGGGGACAATACTTGGGGTAATATAGTGTATATACGGGGGGCGGGGGGGACAATACTTGGGGTACTATAAAGTGTATATACGGGGGGCGGGGACAATACTTGGGGTAATAAAGTGTATATACGGGGGGCGGGGACAATACTTGGGGTAATATAGTGTAATATACGGGGGGGGCGGGGACAATACTTGGGGTAATATAGTGTATATACGGGGGGCGGGGGGGACAATACTTGGGGCGATATAGT